TGAAGCCAATCATGGCTAAAACTCTACTTTTGTTGTAAGTTATTCTTACATGAAAATTTACAATACTTCTAACTATATCAAACTAAAAGTACTAGATCATTAATCTTTAGTAAGTCCACATCAACTTTATTTTTTCCTCTACAGAACTCAGCATTACATATTTAAAATAGTTAATTCATTTTCCAAGTTTCTCTGAAGATCTAGGTTTCAAATCCAAGAGTAATAAAATACTACTAATATAAAACTGGTTTTCAGAAACATACTTGGATTAGCTGTTTGCAGCGCATACAAATTGTTTCCATGTCGCTCTGCTCAAGTCTTGCTGCACACTGAAGATCACAGTCAATAAACGTGCAAAGGCAGAGAAGGGTGACCTTTATGGGAATTCTTGATTTTGCATACTTTTAATGCTCTGGGAGTTTTAAGTATGGATAGACAATTCCAAAAACTAACTCAAAATGCACTGTTAGAAATATACTGCACTGGCTCAGGCTTTTTAGGCACCGAGAAATCTTTACTTTCCTATTCCCTAATTCAGCATGTTTGAGATGGTTCAGCTCTTAAGTCTTCTAAGCCCCATCATTACAACCCCTCCCTGAGAGTTCAGCCATGCTGGCAATTTAACTCCTTCTTCCCTAAGGGCTCTCTAATCACCATCTCCTTATTTCTAACTCTCTATGACTTACCACCATTTAGACACCAACTTGAAATAATGATGGTGACATACAAAACTGAATTCACCTCCTCCCTATGTTGCTATTTCTTTGGCTATACTGCTACTTCTGCGCTCATTGAGATTCAAACCTGGCTACAGTTCCTGTACTGTATGGACAGAGTAGTAGATACAACATCAGAGAGACTCAGCTACTTTACTAGTTGTGTGAAGAGTTTTGACAAGTAATTTAACTTTTGTGAATTTCAGTTTCTTTGTTATTTCAATGGCTGAATAAAATCATGAATACACCTACTATATTCATAGGAGATACTCAATACCTGACAGCTCCTTATCAATCTTTATAGCCTTCATTATCAACTCCTATTCATCTTTTCTTCATATTAAACTCTTAAATTTGGCACCTCCTCTCAATTTTCAATTAATCCAATCAAATTATCAGGTTCCTGGATTCCTGAGGTTTAATAACCTTACCTCTGGTATCTTCTGCTTTTTATTTCATGACTTACCTAGTCTTATTTACTTATTAGGCATATTTGCTTTCTCACGTATTCATCTCATTGAGCCTCCAGCTCCAAAACTTACATGGACAAGTCCCTACTGCCTATAATACAAATTGTTTAGATTGGCAGACCTTAATCCTACCTTGCTTCCAATTATTGCCTGTCAGAAACCTAGTAACTGCATGACTGTGGTCAAATTACTTATCCTCTCTGTTTGTTTCTTTATCAAACTCTGCCTCTCAGAGTTGTTAAGATTAAACAAGAATAGATTTAGAACACTGCCAGGCACACAGTATTTTCTCAGTTGGAGGCAGAGTTATGCAGAGCTAATAAAGCTTAATCTTCAGCACAGCTCACTAGAAGAGGCCCCTTCCAAAGTGACAGAAGGAGCCTGAGCAATTTTGTGTCCCTAATTTTATATTATTTTCTTACAGAGGACTCAATAAATTACTTAAGTTTCAGGATCCTTTACTCAGTAAATGTTAGCTCCTATTACTACACCTAGAAGACAGATTTTTGCATTTCTCTACCCTGGTAATGTTCCCTCACTCTTCCCCATTTAACTAATAGAGACAAAGCAATATGTTAGACACTGCAGAAGAATCAAAGATTCCTACTCCCAATAGTCCAGTAAGCATAAATTCAAGAGGAAAAAAAATACGTTTAGAGTAAGAGACAGAAGCAAGTTACAAATAAAATGCTATGGGAATTGAAGGGAAGGAGATGTGGAACAGTTGGCAAAGTGAAAAAAGGATTCATGGAAAGAACAGTATTTGAGATGGACTCTAAAGATGGATAAATTTCAGCCAACAGCCAACAGTTAGGCTTGTGGAGAAAGAGAAGATAAGGTAAACCTTGAAGGATGGAGGGATTCAGAAGAAGCTGGATGAGATTTATTTGATCCAGGTTTGGTTGCTCTCCAGTCCTAGGAAGGCGTGAATCTTTTCTTATCCCTGATCCATCCTGATATTTGTTATAACTACCTAGAATTACTGCCTACCCAGTACTTTTGAAACCTACGTGCTTAAGAAGCGATTCCACAGAAAATATGTTTCAGAGGGAATTCCATGTATTTTAGATTATCATATGGAAAAAAACCTTCGGACTGGTATATTTCTAACATAAGTTTACTCCCTCCTACTGTTTCAAATTCGTTCCATTTGGGCGTGGGGAGAAACAAAACAAATTAGTACTGGGACTTATCTACTTTACTCAATAGAAGGAAAAGAACAAATGCGGAATTCTAACTCTTGTTTAAATTACCAGGTGAATACAAAGGGCTCAAAATATATATGTACTTTAAATTTAAAAACATGTATTCAATATAAAATACTTTTGATTAAAAAGCTTCCAGGAAACAGTATATATAACCATGAATTGTTAAATTTCAGGGAAATTTCCTTCATCACCATTAACAAGAATAATACCAAAACCTAAATTCTTGTTGCTTCTACGTATGCAGCAACATTGAAGTTATTTACCTACCACAGAAGTGGCCAAACACTGTATTTCTATGCATTTAAATATCAAGGAGATAGTCTTCCATTTTTTGTCATACAGTATACCTACTACACTGCTCTGTATAGTGAATACTCAGAGCACTGGTGACTCTTTCCACCAGTCACTCCAATTCTCCCCGCAAAAAGTGATGGTCAACAGGTCAAAAGTACAGCTTGTTTTGTAAAATACTAAACACCTCCACAATACTAATTTGGAAGTCTGCTTCTCATTTATTGAGAAAAACTACCAGAATCACTGAGAAGCAAAGAACTCATTTCAAAACACGTCCATCTGAAAATGTATATACCTATATTACACAATGTGTTCAATACAGATTCCTAAATTACAAGATACATTTAATCTAAAGAAACCCAGGGACTTCACTTTATTAAAAACCTTTCACTGAAATTCCAATTATGATCACAATACCAACACACACAATTTTTCTGCTATGCCAATAAAAGTTAACACTTGCAAGCCTTAGTTCTGACATCTCACGCCTTTCTCACCAGCCTTCCAAAGACAATATAAAAGCCTAATAAGAAACAATTTCACAAACGATGTCCAAATGCTCAGCCAACGCATGTATACTGGAAGTAGGGTGATTTCTTAATAGCCAGAGGCTGCACATGACTTAGTATCTTATGACGGCCCAGCTTGTTGAGGGACTGGCCGCACCTCCCCCTCTCCCAGTTAACTGCTAGCTCCAGCCTTTTCTAAAAGTTTAACAGGAAGGGAGAAGGAAGTAAAAAAGGCAATGTGAATCTTCTCATAGCAAAAACTCAAAACAAAACAAAACAAAACCCCAAACCAAAAATGCCCCAAACCATGTACTATCAAAAAAAGATCCCCCACCTTCTCTCTTAAAAAAGGCCTCATCTATTTTAACTAACCAGCCTTCAAGTCCTACAACTATCTGCTTTGCTAAAATTTTGAAAAACGGGTTTTCAAAAAATACAGGAAAAGCAAGACGTCTTTTCTTTACTCTGGCCCTCTGACTGCAAGAATATTTTATTATTAAATAATTCTCTTCTTCCCGGACTAAAGGTCGGTCTCCTTCTGACGTGTTCCAAGTTACTATGAGCATTTCTTGTACCTATCACGTGCCGATTCAAAAGTTCTTTTCTGACCTGGGGTAAAGGGTGAGGGGAAAAGTACAAACGTCCTCCTCACTGAGATGTCACCACTTCTGACCTGGCGTAGTTCACTACCTCACATTTCAGCACCAAGCCGAGTTGCTCAGGCTTCTGTCTCAACAGCCGCGGCCGCAGAGCGCTCAACCCTACTCTCCCTCGGCATCTCCCGACCACCCTCGTTGGAGGTCCGACTGGCATCACTCCCATATCCAGCCGTTCGGACACCGCTGTCGCCCATCCCGGATTCCTATCCCCGGGACAGCTGCCGCCCTGGGTGCGCATCTCGTTCCCACACTGGATCCGGGGTTGGGACACGTCTTCCCAGGCTGTCGGCCGCCGAGCCCAGGGCAGGCGAGGAGGACGGCCCCCTCGCCACCCCCACGCCACCCCTGGCCCGGGCACTGCCGCGGCAGCCCTCAGCTCCGCACTCGGCACATTCCGCGGCCCCCGCCCGGACGGCCCGCGCTCCCGCCCGGCCCCACCCCACGCCCTCCGCTGCTCGCCGCGCGGCAGGTGAGTCCGGGCGGGCGGCCCCCGGCCCCGCGGGGCGCTCACCTTACTGAGGACCCCGCAGCGCTCCACCGGCAGCCTGCACTCCGTCTCCGGCTCCTCCTCCGAGCCCGACGAGTTCCAGCTCTGGTTATCCGACATGGAGGCGCGACAGCCGAGCAGGAGCCCGGCCCCTGCTCCCTGCGCTGCGCCGGAGGAGGCGCCCCGTGCCCGGGGTGAAGGGTCGGGGGATGGCGAAGGCGAGAGGGCCCGCTCCGGCGCGGGGGGGAGCTGGAGGAGGGACGAAGTCCACCCGCCGCGCCTGACACCGAGCGGACCGGGGAAGGAGGACGAGCGGCGAGGGAAGCCTGTCCTTCCAGCCGCCAGCCGCCGCCGCCGCCGTGACCCCGCGCTGCGCCGGCGCCGCCGCCCGAACTCAGCCCGGTCGATGCCAACCTCGACCAGAAGCAGAAGGGAGGAAGAGCGAGGAGGAAATGCAGCCGCAGACCCGAGTCCACTCAGACCTCCGCTACGCCGCCATCTTCCTGCCTGGCCCACTATTTACCCTCCCCTCCCCTCTCGCCCTGCGCCCGCCCCGTCTGACGTCCCCGCCCGACGTCTGACGCGACACGCCGAGGCTCGGGGGTGTCCTCCCGCGCCTACCTCCGGCCCTCCCGGGTGACGCCGGCGAGACGAGGGGGAGGGGCGGAGCGAGGAGGAGGGACGGGGGTTGCCGCCGCGCTGCATTCTGGGGAGGACGTTGCTCCGTCAGCCGCGCGGCCTCTTGGGAGTTGTAGTCGCAATTCTGAGGCTACGGGTGAGTGCTTCGCGCCTCGAAGGCTTGTCGCCTTGGGGACGGTCAAGCGGTGGGTGGGCTTCCTGTGAGAGTTGCGTGACCCGTCCCCTCGGCCGCGCTTCTGTCTCTGCCTAGCGTGTTTGTGGCGAGCCCGCCGGGCTTGCGGGCCCGGACGTGGTAACTCTCCGCTGAGGATGGCGGGCCTGCCTCCATGGCGGCTTCCCGAAAGCCCGGGAGCATCTTGCAGCTCGCGCGGGCGTGGTGTGCTGGGCGCGTCCGCCTCCGCCACGGGCCGGGGGTTTGCCACCTGTCTGGGTGCTTTCTGCCAGACCTCCTCTGGCAATTTCGAAGGGCTTCCACCTCGCTCTTTACAAGTTAGACTTCACACTTGACGGTTCCCGCTCTTGGAAGGAAGCGGTTTCAGTCGCTTCGCGCCAGAGCAAGCCCTTCGCGTTGTTAGATTTCTAGTTTTTATTGTGTGGAAAATAATTTTGAAGATGTCTGAGAATAAATGACGTTTGAAGAGCTTTTAAAGCAAAACAAGGATGTGAGATGATCGCCTGGAGTTTTCTCTTGGTCGTGAATGAGTCTCTTCCTGAGACCCAGGTTAACCATCTCTACCGACCTCCCTGTCTCTGGAAGACGGGAAGGGTTGGGCGAGAAGCTTGCCTGTGGCGGGGGGACCGGAGTGCGGTAGTCGTATTGAATAATAAGGGCTTAGGCCGCAGGGGGCTGGCTTTAAGACCAGAATTAGTGGAAGGACCCATAAAAGATCTAACAGATCTTGTCTAGTGTTTTTGCCTACATTTAAGGATAACTTTTATTGTGAGATCTTTAACTGTGTAGCTTCAGTTCTGTTCTGTCGTTTGCTGCTTTTACATCTTGCTAAGTTCCTAATAATTACCAACACTAAAATTCCTTATGAAACCTTAGAAAGAATACCTGCTTACTGCAGGGACGGGAGGATAGGAGTGAAATCACCAACCTTGGGGAAAAGGCACAGTGGCCAGAAAGAGCTCTGGTAGCGATAGAGGCCAACTTAACCGGGGTCTTTCCTAAAAAAAACATAAAGACGGGAAGTGTCCCTGCGAAGTGTATGTTTCAGTCCTCTAGATGGGCACTTATAGATGCTGAATCTATGTAAATAGGTTACAAATCATTTTTCCATTGTGAAATCTAGTGATAATAATTGAAAGCCATTCAGATGAATAAAACCTTGAGATAAAGCTTTTGAAAATACTCTTTATCAACCTGTTAATTAAAACAGTCCCCAGGTTATCATTCAAAAGAGAAAAAAGAAAAAAACCCACTTCGCACATTTTTTTCCTCTTTATTCAATGACTAAGTTATACCTTTGGAATGTTAAATACTGTAGCAATTAAGTTTTACTTTGCCTTCCGATTGCCTAAATATAGTTAGACTTCCTATTTCTGATTGTTTTAAGCTCTAGGTTTTAAAATGTCATTAGTCTCAATAAATGATTGTGAATTGTTGAGAAATCCAGTTCATAGTGCAATTTAGAATCATGGGAGCATAGCATATGTTTATTTTTAACTTGAGCTTTCTGTTGTATGCATTTCCAAGTTGTGTGTGGTTGTAACCGCCAGCACTTAGATCACTAAGCTGCCCACTTAGTAGGAAATTGTTTCGTTGTATTTAGCATTAATATGAGAGAAATTGCCTTTTTTAAAAAAGGTTTTTGCCACATTGTTCCTCTATAGTTACAGGATTATTTAAGAAATTTTTTTAAGTACAGAAGGATTTTTGTATACTGATTACCACATTCCAGGTTGGGATTCTCTTCATTTCTGTTGATGGGAAGGAGCTGTGATACAAGAATAAAATACGTGAGCTTTCTCTCTGTTCTCTGATGAGAGTAATAGCTTCTGAGATTCCTCTCTTACTAAGAGCCTTCCCCAACCCTCTTATAAGTGTTCTATATTTTCTCTTTTAGTAATTTTTTTTTTTTACTTTTAGAACTTGAGCCCACCTGGAATTTTTTTTTTTTTTTTTGCATGCAATGAGGTAGGAATTTGATTGTTTTTTAAGGACCCAGCCACTTGGCCCAACAATTCATTGAATAGTCTATTCTTACCCTTATATCTGTGTGCTCTGCAAAGTCTCCATATACCTAGGTCTGTTTCAAGGCTCCATTCTTTTTCATTGATCTGTTTGCCTGCCTATGCTAATACCAGACTGATTTAATTACTTAACTATACTATTTTCATATATATAATAGCAAAATTGTGATATTCTTTTTCATTTGGATATTTTTGTGTGTCTTCTCTTCCAGATGAATTTTAGAATAGCTTGTCAAATTGCGTGGAAAATTCTATGGGGATTTGGATTGAGAATGCTCTTAATTTTTGAAGAAAATGACGTCTTTACCATATTAAGTCTTAGTCGTGGTCGGGCACTTGACATTCCTGATCTGACTTTTTCCTTACCAACTATATAAGATAGGCCTCATTTTAAGGATGGTGAAACAGTAGCTACTAAGTTAGTAGAGTTAGGATTTGAACACAGATCTATCTGATTTCAAAGATCATACCCTTTTCTTTGCTTCAGAATGCTTCTCAAAGTGGGAAGAATTGTGTAAATAAATAATATATCCTGTAGATAAGTATATCAGAGCAACTGTGCTCTTAATACAGCTAATGATTTTGAAAATCTTTCACTTATCCAGCCCTTACATCTATGCTGTCTTATTCAACACCAGTGTAGAATTTATTTCTGTTTTATTTCAATTTCTGATCTTTCGCGTGAAGAAACTGAACCACAGAGAAGTTAAATAACTTTCCAAAGGTCAGACAGCTAGTAAAAATCATAGTTGCAGTTTGAGCCCAAGTATCCTGTGTCCAGTCTTCATTCTCATCCCACTAGAGTTCTTCAATTCCTGTTTCCCCATTTTCCGCCTCATCTCATTCTCCCAGCTTTGATCTCCGCTAAACACCAATCCCAAAGCCTTCATCCCTGCCCTCCACTCCCACTGCCAAAACACAGAAGCCGGAAAACTCGGAGGTGTTGGAACTGAAAATCTTTGTAGTTTTACTGATTGACGGGTAGAGGAATGAGGGAGAGTATTTGTTCTCGATGCTAGAACTATAGCAGGAGGATGTCCCAAGTTGAAACTGAAAAGGTTGTCTAATTTTTAAAATTGATGCTATAAAGAGCGTTTATCAGTCAGCTCAGGCTGCCGTAACAAAATACCGCAGACGGACTGGCTCTGGTCCCTTTTCCTCTTCTTGTAAGAACACCAATCCTATTGGATTAGGGCCCCACGCTCACGACCTTAGTTACCTCTTTATAGGCCCTGTCTCGAAGTACAGTCACATTAAAAGTTAGGACTTCAAATGTGAATTTTGGAGGGACACGGTTTAGTCCATAATAGAGCTTATGGGTTCTATATTCCCACAGTATGTATTATGTTAAAGATGCATTTGGAGTTAAATAGTTCTTTTTAGCTAACCTAGGAATATAATTGCTCTTTGTAATGCTGTTCCAGACTGAAACATAACCAGTTAAAATTGGGGATTTACATAAGAAATGTGATTTTGCAAATTTAGAAATAGAGATATTCATCTTTGAAATAGAGGTAATGATCTATGAATAGCAGCAATCTAAAAACTACAGGACAAATGAACAAAATACGTGTGAATAATACAGCTGATTTTTTTTGCCCTATTTTAATGTCTTGAATAATCTCTGTGGTAAAATTGTGGACCACTTGAATTTTCTTCTTTGTACCATTTTGTATGAAAAAAATATATATAGGTGTGAGTATGTGTGTTCATGTGTATTTATAAATGTATCACTTTTGTAGTAGAAGAAAAGGTAATTATAAGTGATATAACTTAGTTAAGGATTAGTTAATCTCTTCACCTTCAGTCTTCTAAATTAATTTTCAACTTCGAGCTGTTTATATCCTTCTTTTTCCATATTTTCTTCTTCATCATCAAGAGAATTGATGATTGCAACATTTAAGAATACCCCATCAGTGTCTTCAGAGTTTTTTTCCCCAAGCTGCTGATACCTGTTCTTCATGTTTTGATGCATAGATATTGACAATTATGTCACAACTGCTGTCTCACAAGGATTATGTGAGGCATCCCAATTTTAGAAATGTCAAAATGTGTCCTCGAAGCAATGAATTACGGTACTTGCTTTTCTTTTTTATGCATGTCCCCTCATTTTTTTCCTGAGAGCACTATTTATGATTTTCAGAATATAAAGAGAGAGAGAGAAAGGGTATTTATACCAGTGTACATATTGCATTTTTACTTTAACAGTATTTTGTGAACATCTGTTTCATGGCATCCTGTTTAATGACTGCATAGAATTCCTCTTTTGATGGGCAATCAAAATTTTTCACTTTTTCTGTTACAAAAATGCTGTAAGAAACATCAGTTTAACTTTGTTTTTGTTTATTTGTCCAGCTCTTTTCCAGGGGCAAATTTCCAATGGTGGACTGCTAAAATAGAGAATATGTACATTTTACAATGTGATAATATCAAATTGTTCTCCAAAAAAGTTGCATTAGTTCACACTCCCCAGTAGTGTGTCTGAGTCCTCCCTCCCCACTTGAAGACAAAGGATGGTGATCTGAGAATACCACTGGAAGGGGATTGTGGCTGGAGGTTACAATTTGAGAATAAACCACATTGGGAATAGTAATCAGTTTATTATGGTTGACCAGTTGGACACTTTACTATTATTGGTCTTATCAAGGTTCTTTTGGCTGAAGGGGGCAGAAATACATTCCGGGTACCTAAAAATAAGAGAAGATTATTGCAGAGATCTCCCTCAGCTGGGCCTTGTCCATGTTGGAAGCTTGGAAAATGAGAACTTGATGTTTTTTTTTTCTGTCCATTTCTGGTGCCTCATGGTATCTTTCATCTCTCTGTTCTTGTGTTCTCAATCTCTGTTTCTCTGTCTCTTTCAACTCTCATCTTGCATATTGTCCAACTTGGTTTAACTACCTCTCAGTTTTGGGGCCCTATTAATGTCTCTTAGTTCGGATT